TTCTGCTTTCTTCTCTATACCTTACTCTGCATTTGATTTTTCTAAAATGAATTTCAGTTAGCTTCCTATGTACAATGAAAAATGTTCAAATTGCTTTTCTTTCTGAGCTCTATATGAGTTCATCCTTTTTGAACTCTACAATCTTTCCAGAGATCTCAGAATATGAAAGTTGTTTACTACAGTTTATGACTTATTTATGACTCTCTGAGCAATAGAAAAACATTGTTATTATCCTCCGGGTGAGAAGAGGCAGGAGGTTAGGACTGCAGACTCTCATCTGCAGCCTTCTAATGGCTGCAGAAAGTCCTTCCCTTCCCTTCACACTGACACAGGAATCCTTCCCAGCTCCTAATATCTACCCCATGTTGACTCTACTGTTGACAAAGGCAGAGTCACTTCCAATTTCCCGATACTCACAAAGTCACACTACACAGATGGTCTTTCACACACTGAGGTTTTCTAGAAGCTTTATCATGTTGTAAGATCGAGTACTGTTTCCTGTCCATGTTTACCACATAACTTCCTAGTCAGTGCTAAGTGGTATTATGCTACCTCTCTCTCTGCCTGCCTTCCTTCCTTCCTTTATTTCTAACTTCTCCATTGTATTCTCATTTAGGTCTGTGAAATCATGGAAGTTGATAATATTGCTTTATTTTTTCAACAATAGACATTGGAGGTTTTCTCATATCTTACATAGATTTACCCAGTTTTGTTAATTCCTAGCTGATACCTCCCTGAGAGTGTGGATATCCTCCTAACAACATTTAGATTCTTTCCAATTTGTGCCTATTTGAGCAGTCACAATTGTAGGTTACAGGGGCAGGGGATATAGCTCAGCAGCACAGCACCTGTCTGGCAAGCCAAGGTCCTGAGTTCGATCCTGGTACCAAAAAAAACCTATAGGATATGATTTTATTTGTGAAATTTGGGGCCATTCATTATACCGATGTATTTCACATTTGGCCACATTGCTGGTCAGAGAGGCTGCATCAGCCTGCGGCAAGTGTGTACTTCTTGGCACTAGTTACCTTTGGGAAGGTCACAGTTTTATTTGTTGTCTTTGAATAGGAATGAATAGGAAAACTAGTACATTATCATTCTTATAATTTGTATTTTTTAAATTATGAGTGAGAGCTAATATTTTTTCATCTTTTTTTCTGAGACTCTCTTGCTTTTGTACTTGATTACTTAATTTAGAGTGTGTGTGTGTGTGTGTGTGTGTGTGTGTGTGTGTGTGTGTGTTTGTTCCTGGGGATCTAACACAGGGCCTCATGCAACCTAGGCAAGTGCTCTCTCATCGAGCTACACCCTGAGTCTTTATCTGATTTTTAAATACTCTAAATGTTAATGAAGCTTATTGTTTTCTGTTAGTTTATGAATTGTCTTTTAAGTTGTTTTTAACATTATTTTTTTACAGTGGTGATATTTATTAATATTTTGTGATTTTTAGGTTTGAGTATTTATTTCAAAAAGATTTTACAATTGTGAACATATTGGGTTATATTTTCTTCTAATACATAGTTACATTAAAAATGTTACATATTAGAACCAGTTTCAATTAATTTTAATTCAACTTAGAATTTGATCTAAGTTTATTTTTTCTGAGTTACAGAAAGTATCCCAACACCTTGATTGGCATCCTTCTTTTCCTCATTGGTTTGGAATGCTTTTTTTTTTCATCACATGCTAACTCTCATATATATTTGGCTTTATTTCTGGACTATATTGTATCCCATTGATCTTCTAGCTCTGAATTGTTTTAATTACTGTGGTGATTGCTGTAGTTTTATAAGGTATTTTAGTACTTGAGGTAGTACCTGAAATATTATTATTTAAGTATAATTATTCAAATGTCATAATTTTTGTAATAATATAATATTATTCAAATATTATTATTCAAATAGTATTATCTGAAGTATGGTTCTAACTAGTCTGCTTTCTAAGAAAACATTTCTGGGTATGCTGTAAAGGTCCTTGTTCTGTGTTCCACTTTACGTATACTATCTTTTCAAAAAATTAAAAAATTCTTCATTTTTATTACTGCAAACATACTGAGTTTATAGATTAAAGTGGACTAATGTGCTTTCAAACAGAGTATTTGCATTTATTCAAGTCTCCTGGTGTGCTCCCTACTGGATATTTAAGTTTTCTTTATACAATTCTTACATATTTCATATTACATTCATTCCTGTGTATTATTAATATTCTCTCCTTTAAATGAGTTGCTTTATTATATTTTCATGGGTTATTATACATATATAGGAAAATTGTTGAATTTTACAAATTAATGTTGAAAGCAGACGCCTGTATTGAATTCTCTTATAAATTTTAAACACAGATTTTTTTTGTTTGTTTGTTTGGCATTTTGTTTTGTTTTCCAGTACCAGGAACTGAACTCAAAACCTTGCACTTGCCAAGCAGGTGCTGTGCCACTGAGCTAAATCCCCAACCCCCTATCGTAAAAATTTTAGTAAAAATTTTTTCTCACTGAAATCTTAGACTTAAGTATAAAATCATTTTAATTTCAAATAATTTTTCACTTTCTTTTAAAATGTTTACATTTCCTGTGTTTACCTCATTTGGCCCATTACAGTTTTCAGGATCTCCTGGTAAATGTTGCAAAGTAGTGCTACTAATGAGTATCACTGGCTCAATCATGACTTTAATGGAAATTCATGTAGTATTTAATTTGGCCTTTTGGTTAAGGAATTATCTGTCTAGTGTACAGGAATTTGTAAAGTATGTGCATGTGTGTGGATGAGCGTGCACATGTTTGTGTTTAGTTAGGAGGTAGATATTTAAGCTCATACATTTTCAGCCAATTAAAGGAATTATGAAGTTTGTAAAGTTTGAACTATTAATATATTAACAGTTAAACTATATATAGTTAAACTAATCATTTTTCCAACATAGAACAATCCTGCATTTCTTGGATTACACCACACTTAAACGTAGTATATTTTCTCCTTAATGTGTGAAATCATTCTACATGTGGGCCTTTTCTTCTATGCATGCATATTTTTTTGGGGAAAAATAACCTTCCCACGTATAATTTGGAAGAAACCATCAAAAAGAAAATTAAAAGTAGGTGAAAAGATACAAATATACAGTTTTCTAAAGGGGAATTGAATTACTTCATTTTCCATTATTGTACCTTTACACAAAGCTGTATTTGTAAAGAAAAGAGGTACAGTTAGCCCACAACTACAGAGGCTGAAAGTTCAAATACCATTGTGCTGGTTCTGCTGAGGAACCCTGGGCTGCATCACATCATGGCAGATAGCACCATGGTGAGAACACAAGTGAGAGAGAGAGATCATACAGCAAAATAGGAAGCTGGAGCAGGGTTGGAGGAATGGCCCATTGGGCTCTTTTTATAACTACCCACAACCAAGAACTAACTCAAGTCTCATGAGAAGTATGTCACTTCCTTCCAAGGGTATCAACCTTGATGAGCTAAGGACCTCATATTAAGCCTAAGTCCTCCAAGGTCCTACTGCCTCCTAACACCACATTGGGGCCCAAGCTTCTAACATGTGAGCCCTTGTGGGATGAACCACATTTGAACCATAGCAGAAATTACCAATGGCTGAAAAAACTATAGATATACATACCCAATATCACTTGAAAATGTAAATTGATAACACCTTAATGATATCTTTCTCATACCTGTATCTCCAGCATGATTTAAGGAATCAAACAAATCCCTTCACTTCTATTAGTAATGACAATCACATTTGTGTTCAAAGGTTTCAGATCCTAAGAAACATGAAAGCTCATTTGCAGAGTGGCACCAATTCTTCGCTTGATCAGATTTTAGTCAGACTTTGAACCTTCTCCTAGACCTGTCTGTGTGCTTCCTCATAAAATCTAGTTTTATCAAAGAACTCTCCTAGATCAGTTTGGCAAGAACCCCTCACCATCAATATCTGATCACCCTCAGTATCTGACCAGGTTCTTCTTTCGTTACCCACCAAGTGATGTCTGCATACTCTGACATATCTTCAGCTAGAATCTGGGTCTGTTTAGCTACAACTGGTCTTATCCCTGACGTTTCCTCCTAGTAATTTCCTCCATGGATGCTAGCTCTGCTCCTTGGCTATACATTTCCATTGCCCTGCTCTGTTTGGAGTTAGCGCCATCTTCTTCACTTCAAGTCTCCCTTGCAGTGGTCCCTATACCTATCAGAATGGTCTTAAATAAAGTCGTCCATGCTTTAACAAGTGTCACTGAATTTTTTTTCTTTAGCAAGAGACACTTGGATTTTAATTTTAAAATAGGCGGAGTGAAAGGTTCAATGTTCTCTACAAAAAAAAAATGCCCAGAGAGATTTTGACTGATATCTGTCCAGTATTGCTTTCTAAACTGAGCATAAAATTTCCTTCATCAAAGTTGCTCTGATTCTCCGTCTTGGAATTTCATACGTAACTCAGTCTCAGGAAATATTGATGAAATTTAGCACAAATGAGTCATTTGAGAAATTCAGATCTCTGTTTCTTCACCTATAAAACAGCGACTGCTTCTGCTTGCCTTGGTAGACACAAGAAAGATGAAAAGAAATGATATAGGGTACCATTGCCCTTCACAAATCTAACACCATAAAATATTTTATGTATTGCAAGTGACAAAGCAGAATACATAATCTTTCAGACTGAAATTTCAGGGAAGACCCCCAGCCTCCTCCATACCAAGTAAATAGACCTGTGAAAGAGAGAATGTTTCTGACAGTTCTACCTTCTCCCCACCCAGCCACGCTTCCCGCAGCCTGTCCTTTTCCCATGAGTCCTAATTCTCCTGCTACAGAATCTGTACATGTGACATTTACACCAGGGAGAGGAGCGGGTGGAAGAACTGGGAAGGCATAATCCTTCTCTGCTCTCTTGTCAGCATCTAGCTATTTGGGGATGCAAAGGAGAGTGAAATATAGTGCTTTGAAGATGTGGCTGCCATTGCTAGAACTGACGTCAGGTTTCCAATGTGGAGAAGGCCAGGCTACTCACGAGACGCAGAGGCACAAGACTCCCGGTATTGACTCGCTGTCTCTTATCAGAAAGTTGCCATTCACTCCTTCCTTGAGCAGCAAAATTTCACACTCTTGCTTCGTCAGAGCACCATGATAGTAAGGCAGATCCATGGAGAATCCTCCCTGTTAGAGCTTCTGGATTAGCTTGGAGACCAGGTCTGAAGAAGACAGTAAAGGCAGCTGGTTTGAAGGGCCTCTTCTTCCAGTGGTGTAGGAATGAGATTCGCTTGCTCTGTGGGACTCAGTCAGTTTCACCAGATTCAGGAAATGAGAAGGGCGGGGGTGATGAAGTGACCAAGACATTTCAGCCTCAAAGTAGCCCTAAAGGGCACACAGAGTGGGTGGAGTCAGTGATGCTCATAGCTAGGCTGAGGTCAAGCTCCCTGCAACTGGGCTGCAGCTTGTGTGTCACTTGTGTGCAGCTTTGCACACAGCTTGTACCTTCTCTGGTTACTGGCGTTCTTTCTAAGGAACACACCACTCATTCTGCAGCAATAGAGGCCTATTTTCTGCCCAAGCTGCCTCTAAGTCAGCTGTGCTTAGCTCAGAACAAATGCTCAAAAAGCACTTGGATGCTGAAACAGTTGACATGTCCAGGCACAGTGGGATGACTAAAAGTGTTGTACTTCTTCAGGTCAGGGGACACAAAAATGCAAACATTGGTGGGAATAGATGCCACTGAACACCAAGGGGGAAGACAGCCCTACCCACATAAAGCTCCATGTTAACGTTCTCAAGCACTGTGACTTTTGAGGAAGGGAGCAAGTCACATGATATCCGCATTTACAATTTAGTGCAGATGACAGGGATATCTGGCTGTGCAATTTGTTATAGGGGGGCCCAGACAGAGGCTTGCATCTGGGCCCCAGGTATCTGGCTTCATCCAACCAGTCACCGTCAAGAGTATGAGAAGCCAGACGTGGTGTTGCATACCTACAATCCAGCACTCTGGAAGGCTGTGGCAGGACGATTACATGTTTGAGCCCAGCCTAAGAAATTTCACAGTTTAGCAAAAATTTCTCTCAAACAAAAAAGGCTGGGATGTAGCTCAGTGCCATAACTCTGGGTTTAATCCCCAGGTCAGGAAAAAAGTATGAGAAAAGTCTTACAGCTAGAAAAATTAGTTTATTTACCATTTGGTCAAATTGTGTGAGCAGCTAGTCCTCTTCACTTGAATGCACAGAAGTGCTCAATTTACAGAAACAAAAGCTAGGAAATACGCATATGTAGATTTAGCTGGGCTCTGGTTCACCAGGAGGCCCAGGGAATATGGAAAAGGTACTGTTGAAACCTCCTTAGCACTAGGGCTGGAAGTGGCAGTTTCCACTCAGCATGAAGAAGCTGGAGAAATAGTTTATCTTATTAAGTCTATTGGTACAATTTAGATAAACATAATGATCATATTCATCATAGGGAATTTGTATTTGTGTATGATATAGCGTGGTTCATCTTTTACTTTTTCCCAATCCCCTCCCCTCCCTTCAACCCATCCTCCCCTCTTTATTTACAAAGCTTCATTTCCATTTTGTCTTTCTTTTAGTGTTTTTTTCCCCTTTTCTCTTCCTTCCTTTCCTCCTCCTCCCTCCCTTTCTTTTGAACCATTTCTTCCTATTTCACAATGCCTGTTATACATTTTGGTCCTTACTTACGTTTAAGATTTCTCACACCAGAGAAACAATGTGATATTTACACATGTATGACTGATTTATTTCACTGAAGAATATGGTAAAAATAGTTTATCTTTAAAAATCCTACTTCTTTTCCATATACTGAGGATTGAATTCAGTTGATTCACACCGAGCTGCATCTCTGGCCCTTTTTTATTTTTATTTTGAATTAAGGTCTCACTATGTCACAAAGTTACCCTGGTTGGGCTCTAAATTCTAATCTTCCTGCCTCGGCCTCATTGAGTACCGAGATTACAGGGACGTACCGCAAGATTTGTTTTAACCTCTTGTTTCAAATTGATTGAAAGCAAAAGGGCTATCTAGGTGTGTAATTTAGTGTAGAAAGACTGAGTCATGTGGGAGGAAAAAGGATGTGAGGACTGGGTTTAAAAACTCTCAGGTCCTTTGAGTTCCTACCCCAAAAGACCACTGAGATGTGTCTCTCTGAAGAAAGTTCAAGAAACATACATGTGGCCAGCACATTTATCTCCTGTTAGATAATCTTGGTGATGAGAAATTATTTTTTTCATTTTTATTTCTTCTGAGTTCTTCCCACATTGATCAACTGATATTTTACAGAAATAGACAATCATGTGACCTCTCTAATCTGAGGGTCAAAGTTAGCCCTAATGTAATACCCAAGGCTTTTATGAACAACTAAACCAACCAATGTATTAGTTACTTATTGATTGATTTCAGATAAAATAAGCCACACAACCTACAATCCAGTTTGCAACTGAGTTACATTTGTATAACTCTCACAAGTATCATCACACAGTGTTCACTTTTCATAAACACAGAGTAAATCTCTCTCCCTATTCAGCTACCTCACTAAAATATCCATGGGAAACCTCTGTATATCTCAAGTATGTATCCATGAAAATGAACTATATGCTCATGGAAATCCTTAAGTCTCTAAAAATTTTCTTCCCCTTTTCATAATAGTGCTTTGTTTTGTTTTGTTTTGATACCAGGAATTGAACTCATGACCTTGCACTTGCCAGTCAGGAGCCGTGCCACTGAGCTATATCCCCAGTCCTTCTAAACATTTACTTAATTCAGATGTTTATTTCATTTTGCAACTTTGCTTGCAGCATACCTGAGGAGTCTCTTGCACTGAAAAGCAAGAACTTCCTTGTAATGACAGGTCTTTGGTCTCCTTGCAAGTCCTGCTGGTCTGCTGTTTGGTATGCTGGGTTATACTCACAAAAAGCTCATTATTAGAGAGATATGCATTCAAGTCCAACTTCCTCTTCAGTGGCCTTAGTTGATTCACTTTGAATTCCCTGGGAATTATGGCAAAGAAGGAAATTTTTTTTTTTTTTTTTTGGTTTTTCTCCAGTACCGGGAACTGAACTGACGACCTTGCGCTTGCCAGGCAGGCGTTTTTGCCGCTGAGCTAAATCCCCAGCCCCAAAGAAGGAAATATTGATGAAAGAAAAATTTCTAAGTTTAGTTTTTTGAACGGTCTCCATACTGACTTCCATAGTGTTTGTACTAGTTTACATTTCCTCCAACAAAACAGATGGGTTCTGATTTCCCCTCAACCTTGCTATCATTTCTTGTATTTTGACGTACTGATGAAAGCAATCCTTACTGCAGTAAGGTAGAATCTCAGTGTTGTTTTGATTTGTACTTCTCTATTAGCGATAGATCCTGAATATTTTTCCTGTACTTATTGGCCAAGTGTACTTCTTCTGAGAAATGTTTATTCACTTTAATTGTTTATTTCCTGCCTGCTTCTTTTGGAGGGGTCTAATATTTTGAATTCTTTATATATTCTACATATATATTAGTTCTCTAAGGAATAGCTTGCAAAACTTTTTCCCGCATTCTATAGATTGTCTCTTCACTCTGTCAGTTGTTTCCTTTGCTGTGGAGAAGACTTTTAATTTGATGTCATCCCATTTGTTGATTCTTGGTGTTATTTCTTGTGCAATTGGGATACTGTTAAGAAAGCCTATTTGCGGGAGATTTAGCTCAGTGGCAAAGCACTTACCTGGGAAGTGCAAGGTTGTGAGTTTGATTCCTGGTACTGGAAGAAAAACAAAACAAAACAAACAAACAAACAGAAAGCCTACTTGCCGATTGCTTATAGGCAAGAAAACTCTCTCTTCAAGAGTTTTACCTATGCTATCATCCAGCAGATTTAGTGTTTCTGTTTTAGTACCTAGAGCTTTGATCCATTTTTATTTTATTTTACTACAGGTTGAGAGATGGGGGCCTACATATATTCTTCTGTATGTGAATAACCAGTTTTCCTGACACCATTTATTAAAGAGGCTCTCTTTTATCTAGGATATATTTTTGACCCCTTTGTCAATGATCAGATGGCTAAATGTGTCCAAAGTTGTTTCTGCAGCCTCTATTCTGTTCCACTGATTTGCATGTCTATTTTGAGCAAATACCGTGCTGTTTTTATCACTGTAGTTTCATAACGTAACTTGAAAACCAGGATTGTGATACTTCCTGCTCTGTTCTTATTCCCAGGAGCTTTTGCTATTCTGAGTCTCTTCTGGTTCCATATAAATTTTAGGATTGGTTTTTTTAGTTCATGAAGAATGCTGTTAGTATTTTGATTGGGATTGAATTAAATCTATACATCAGTTTCAGCAGGATGACAATTTTGACAATGTTGTTTCTACATAGCCAGAAACGGGATATCTGTCCATTTCCTGATACCCTCTTTGATCACCTTTTCAGAGTACTATACTTCTTTTTTATAGAAGTCTTGCACTTCCTTGATTGGTTGATTCTTAAGTATTCTAATTTTTTAAGGCTATTATGAATTTTGAGGCAATTTAATTTTCTGATTTAATTCTTAGTGCATTCATTGTTGATCTATAGGAACACTATTGATTTTTTTGTGTGTTGATTTTGTATTGTGCTACACGGGATGCACTGCAGCATAGACTACATCCCCATGTACATTAGAAATTGGGTTAGAAAGTTTTCTATTTTTTCTCTTCTCTGTTGAGAAGTTAGTCTTATTCAAACAAGTTGTGTAAGGCTTCTGACAACTTAACAAATAGTGAGTTCAAACAATGATCAAATTAAAAGACCTTTTAAGTTTTTAAGTTGTCATCTTTCCCTTTATTTAATTAGTGCATAGAAATTATACAGAAAGGGTGAGTTTCATTTTGGAATATTTGTACATGCATACAACATATTTTGATCAATCCTTCTACCCCTTTATTTACCTTCCTGTGTCTGTGCTCCATTATCTTCTCTAATAGTCCTCCTTTTACTTTCATGTCATCTCTCTTTTATTAACTTAAATTCTTTTCTAGATTCCTTGTATGAGAGAGAAACATGAAATACCTGACTTTCTAAGTGAGAGCCAAGTCTGGAGAAATCACTTTACCCAATTTCCAGTTATACAATACAGCCATGGTAACAAAAACAGCATGGTAATGGCATAAAAATATATATTCTAAAAGAATAGAATAGAGGGCACATGAACACATCCTACAGCCACATGATTCTGGACAACGGATCCAAAACCTACATTAGAAAAAAGAATTCTCTTTTAAAAATGATGCTGAAAAAATGAGATACTCACTTGTAGAAGATTGA